GGGAGAGGGGGGGCGATGGAGGGGGGGGGGGGAAAGTGGAAGGAGGAAAAAAGGAAACAAGGCACAATGGATGACAGTGCGGACGGGGTGGCGAAGGGGGATAAAACGGAACGAAAATTGCGGCGAGGACGGGGGCGATAATGAGAAAGAGGAACGGGGCAGACAGGGGGCGCGACGGGGCGAAGCGGGGCGCTCAGGGCGGGGGGGCGGGCTGGACAAGGGCGAAAACTGAAGCGGACGCAGGGTGCATGGGGGGGGGGGGGGGGCGGCAGCGGCTGAAGGGGGGGGTCGGGGCGTAGAGGGCGGAACGGGGGAGGAGCAATGAAATGCAGCGAGGGGCGGGGGGGGGGCGGGCGGGGCGGGGGCGGGGGGGAGACATGGTGGCGGCGGCGGGTTGGTAGAGGAGACGAAGGGGGGGGGGTCGGGGGGGGAGGGGGGGGGGGGGGGAGGAGGACGAGGACATGGAGGGCGATGAGGAGGCAGGGGGGGGGGGGGGGGGGGGGGGGGGGGCAGGTGCGGCGAGGGAAGGGGGGGGGGGGCGAGGCGGCGGACGAGAAAGGCGAAGAGAAAATAAGGGGGCAGGAAAATAATTGCAAGGGGAAGGCAGGGGATAGGAGGGGGGCGAGGATAGCGAGGAGGAGGGGGAAGAGGATGATGGGTGATCAACCAGGAAAGGCGGGGCGAGGAGGAAGCTGGGGGGGGGGCGGGGGGGGCGAATGGAAGAACAGACAAAGGACAGGGCGGACAACGGGGGCGACAAGGACGACGACGACGGCGGCGGCGACGATGGCGACAGCAACGACGACGATGGCGGCGGGGGCGGCGATGGCGCCGACGGCGTCATCGGCGACGGCAGAGGCGACGGCGTGGGCGGCGACGGCGGCGGCGGCGACGACGACGGCGACGGCGGCGGCAACGGCGGCGGCCGCGCCGGCGGCAGCGGCCGCAGCGACGACCCTCGCGGAGACGCCGGCGAGGGGCGGCCGGCCCCAATCCCTGGGGAGCACAGCCCAGCTGGGGATTCGGCGCCCGCGCCTGCGGGGGGACGGGCCCGCTGCGTGGGCAGCGTGGGCGCCCTCGCTATCCCGCCCCCGCCCGCCTTCCTTCCTCGCCCCTTCGTTCCTCCTTTCGCCCCCTCCTTTCCACGGCCCCCCCGTGCCCCGCGAGATCCTCGGGGGTCCCGTGGGCCTCGAGGCCCCGCGAGGGCAAAAGGTGCCGCGTGCTCCGGGCGCCGCGGGCCCCGCGCATATCAGGGGCCCCACAGGTCCCACGGGCGCCTTCGAAGATCGCATGGGCCCCCATGCAGGCTCTACGAACCCCGCGGGTTCAACTGGCCCACAGGACGCCGAAAGCCCCTCGGGCCCCACAAACCACGAACGTGGAACAGGGAACAGGCCCCACAAATCCCACGAGCCAGGGGCCCCGCAAGCACCGCAATGCCCGCCGACTCCAGCGGCCCCAGAATCCGTGCAAGTCTTACGAATCCCGCAATTCCCGCGAGCCCCGCCGGCCCCTCAGGACCTAAATGTTTTGCAATCCCCTGACATCCAAAAAGCTCAGCAGATCCTAGAAACTCCGAAGGCGCCCCAGGCCCCGCGGGCTCCGCCGGCCTCAGGGGCCCCAAAGGCCTGGGAACCCTATGCGAACATCAGGAGCCACCGGAACCCCGGAGGCACCGCAAGTCCCGCGGGCCCTGGAGGCCGGGGGGGCCCGCGGATTCGGGAGGCCCCCGAACTGCATGCCTTCGCTGTCGCCGCCGTCGTCGCCTCTCGCCCCCGCCGGTGCGCCTTGCGATTGCACTGCGTAGATCCCGCCGGCGGGGCCCGTGGATGCTTGGCCCGCGCGGCCCGCTGGAGTGCCAAGAACGAAATCATCTCAACATATTGCCCCCGCCCTAATGGCCATTGACGATGATGTCTACACTTGGGCGAGCGCCTGCGCCCCATCGCCGGTCGCGCGCGGGCGTGCCGCCGCTTCTTGGCCAGCTCTCCGCGGTCGCGATTTCCTTCTGGGACTGGGCGCCACCCCTCCCGGAATGCCGGCGCGTCTCCTGAGCTGTTGGGCGCAGACGCGTGCCCCCGAAGCCTGAAGCACGACGCAGCAGGCCTGCGGATGTATCCGAGCGGGCAATACTTCGAGAAACCAAAATCAAAGTGCTGCGGCCTGCTCTCCCGGAGATATTCCTGGAGCTTGACCAGGCTGCGCCCCGGGAAAGCCACTGATTTCGAACCTTGAATAACATTGTTATCGCGCGGGCTCCGATCCCGCCCCGTGGAGGCGTAAATTTTGCAATGCCCAAACCGACGCGCCAGCAAAGCGGCAGGGGCGGCGTTCAGAAATCGGAGAATCTCCGTCAGTAAAACCTCGCAATACGCGTTAGCCTCGAAGTAAGTCGCTACGCGGATGGAGGGGCGGGCGTTCAAGAAAACCGCGACAGCAGGGAGCCATTTGTTCTGGGCGCCGCAGAAAAAAAACTCGTTGAATCTCATCGGCGCTCCCATGCGATGGGCTCCCTTGCTCCCATAAGTGTAACCATGCGTCGCAAATGCGGTATTCGCGGGAACGCCTGCAGAAATGAGCTGGCCCCGCAGCTTCCCATCCAAGTGATGAGCGCGTGAGTGACTAGATGTGGCGAGCAGAATGTTCCTGGCGGTAATGGACTGGAGCGATGGCGATGCGAGGGTCGCCGGGTCAGAGTGCCCCGGATCGACGAGCGATTTGCGAATCCACGGCTGATTGATCGCGGCCGCGGAACGACTTGCCGCGCTCGCACGCCGACCAGACAACCATGGTGGCGCGCGGCGGCCGGCGCGGAACAACGGGCACGCGCGCGCGCTGTTGCGAACCCCGAAGGCCAACAAACTGCGGCCCACCACGGCGCGACACAAGCCGTCCTGCTCCCCGCCGGGGTGGGCCGCTGTTCGTTGTGCCCTGGCCCGGCGCTTAAAACCGACCTCGCGGAGTCCATGGGAGGGCCCTGCAGGGGGCCGCGTCTGAGCGGCCGGGGGCCGGGGGCGGAGGCCCATTGCCCGCGAGAGACACGCCGGCAACGTGGACAGCGAAACCACGCGCGTTGATGGGGCCCTCGTCCGTTCGGGTTCTCGCAGGCACAGGGCGGTTCCTTTTCAGAACTTTGCGCCCGCCGGCAGCGCAGTCTTGCGTCGGCCCAAGATGGCCGCGGACGGAAGGGGGGGGCAGCGCGGAGAAAAGAAGAATATAGCAACAAGGAGGAAGGGGATAAATGGGAGCAAAGGAAAACAAACGGGCGGGGGGGGCGAAGGAAAGCGGGAGGCACCGGAGGGGAACGAGAAAGGACAGGCGAAAGGCCAGAGAAAGATGAAAGCAGGCAGCGACGGAGGGCATGGACCGGGCAGGGAGGTGCCAGGGAGGGGGGGCAAGGTGGGGAGAGGGGGGGAGGGAAGAAGGGGAGGGGGGGGCGGACGACGTGGAGGGGGGGAAGAGGGGGGGAGGTAAGAAGGGGGAGGATGCAGACGACGACGACGACGGCGACGAGCAGGAGGAAGAGGGGGGGGAGGAGGAGGAGCAGGAGGACTGACGGACACTCCGACGACGCCGACGTCTCCGACGACGAACATTCTGACGACGACTCCGAAGAAGAGTTCGGGGACGCCGAAGACGGCGAGGACGATTTCGACGACAAACTTGGCGGCGACGAGGGCGACTCTGGCAATGGCGCCGACTCCGACGTTCAGGACTCCGACGACTATGAATCCGACGACGACTCCGACTCCGACGACGAAGTAACCCCCGCCGCCGCCGACGACGATTGTGAAGTGGAGGAATACGACGATGTGTGCCACGAATTCTGCCACGAAGTCTGCCGCGACATGTGCGACGAAATCGACAACGAAATCTGCAACGAATCGCGCAACGAATTGCGCAACGAATCGTGCAACGAATCGCGGAACGAATTGCGCAACGAATCGCCGACGAAAGCTGCGGACCGCGCAACAAATCGCGCAACGAATCGCGCAGCGAATAGTGCCACGAACAGCTGTTTGTATTGTTTTCGAGCATGCGGTCGGAAAAGCGACGCGCGCCTCAGACAGGACTTGGGGACAGCCGCCCGCGCGTGCAGGGCAGGCGCCCGAGGAGCACAATCCGTTGCGCTCGGGCGGCCTCCGCTGGAGCCTTCCTGCGATGTCGTCTCGGGATCGCCGGGCCCCGCCGCAGGACCTCCTTTGCCAGGGGGGCCACGACGGACTCGCAGGCCACGCATGTTTCCCTCAAGGCTTCCCAAGATTCCCGGGGGTCTCCCTGAAATGCCCCGGGGCTGACGCAACCTGAGGGCCCCCCGAGGGCTCCAGACAATCGGCCCCGCGTTGAGCTCCGTGGGGCCGTTTTGGAGCCCTCTTGTCGGCCCTTTTGGGAGCCCTGTCGGGGACCCCTTGGAGCCGTCTGGGGGCTCTCTAAGGCCCCTTTGAGGGCTTTCTCAAAGCTTTAGACGTCCGTTCCCCGCGTCTGGATCTCCTTGGGGCCCTCTTGGGGCCTTCTTGGGGCCCTCGTTTTTTTTCTTCACCGAAGCCGAAGCAACCACGTTCCAAAAATGTGTGGCGACAACTTCTGTCGCATGAAGGGGGTGAAGATGAACAATGAACGGAACACAGCACGGGGATCTCCCGCGACAGCCGCAGTCTGCTGTACAGGGTGGCTGTCCACCTCTGCGAGCAAGACGTAATGCGCCTGGGAGAAAAATGATGGAATTGTAGACACGGCACGTACGCACATCAGAAACGATCTGATGTGATGTTATATTACATAGAACTAGCGAGATGAGGATGGATACCGTGGGAGGGGAACTGGCGATGACCGGCAACCACTCGAAACAATACACAGCCTCTAGCTAATCCCAGCGGCCAACACGCGCTTGCCATCTTTGTACAAGCGGCAGCCCCTACGTATGCCAGGAGCTTCTATGGCTTTCCTACAGACTGCAGGAAGCAAGAAATTGAGTGAAGGCAGAAACAAAGGGCGAGGAGCGAACTACTGAGGCCGTCCGAGGTAGTGCCCAGCGGCCCTCTGAGATTCCACCGCAAGCACAAATTTCTGCGCTCCCTCCACAATTCCCGGACTGCCGCTGCCAGGTCGCCATTTCCTCTAGCTCGCCAGCCTCATTTCTAGGCAAGCGACGACAAGAAATAATGCGCGGGATTGAACTTTTCGATTATTTCTGGGAGGTGGTCTTTAAGTAGGGAGCAACACAAGCTCAGCCAGGGTCGCAGCCGCATCGTCAGCTCACGGATTGAACAAACCAACGTCTGTTGGCGCACGCTGGAATGCCACCCATGACCGTTCTCCGAGGCACTAGCGCGCATGCCGTGCTTAACAAATGGTTTGCGATGGCTCTCCGTGAAAGGATTGGGACTGCCAGCCACTCACACGTGCGGTCGAGCCTCGCACAAGTCCCTTCCGACCAACCCACTAACGCGGCCCCGAGGCGAGACGGCCTCGAGGCGTTGCCCGCGCGGTGCCCCCTCGAGCGCCGGCGGCCCTCGCTCGCCGGCCTCTGAGGGCCTCGCGCCCGCGAGGCCGAAGGCACTCTCTGTCCCTCCCTCCCTCTCCTCTCGCGTGGCCGCGGGAGGCCCGACGGCCCGCCAGCGGCCCGCTCGGGCGAGCGCCGCCTCGCCGGCGCTGCCGGGGGCCTCACGGATCCAAATACGCCGTCCGTAAGTCCAGCCAGCAGAGCGGGCATCGACTCGAGCGCGCCAGCCACTCCCGGAGGCAGCCCTCGTGGAGACAGTGGCAACACTTCAGCTTGATCCAGCGCGCCGAAGGGTCCTCCGCCATGCAGACGACGCACTCGGCACTTTCCTGCTCGCAGCACATCGCGTCGGAGAACACGATGGAGACGACCTCCTCCGGGGCCGCGCCCTCCTGGCGCCAGCGGCCGTGGATCCGCCGCAGCCGGCCCAGCGTCAGGCGGGCGACGCCTGCGGCCGCCGCCACGCAGGCCACGGACGGCAGGCCCCACTGCGCCACCGTCTCGGTGAGGCCGCAGAGGTCGTCCGAGCAGTGGAGGCTCAACCGGCGGATCACCTCCCCGAGGGCGATGCAGGAGACCACGGCCAGCTCGCCGGGCACCATGCAGATGGGAAGCGAGCACACCGCGCTGCAGTAGCCGAGCGCCCAGTACCACACGGCGATGCAGTCCCGCGGGATGGACTTCATGGTGAAGAGGACGATCCAGCCCTCGACCATGCAGAAGGCCTGCAAAAAGAACGCCACCGCGCACAGCAGGAAGCAGACAAAGATCGGGAACCGGAGCCGCTTGAGACCGGCGATAGCCTCGTCAGGCAGATCCCCGTCAAGATCAATGTAGAAGTTCGACCACAGCGCCCCGTTGAGCTTCCTCTGGAGCACCTGGTGCGGGTCCAGGAACGTCGGGACCAGCCAAGCCTCTGGGGGGGCACCCGACCAGGAGATGTTGCCCTCTCTGACCACGCGGCGCGGCGACTGCAGCGGGGCGGCGTTCGCCATCGCAAGCCGAAACGGGCTTGCGGCGTCTCGATGGTGGTTGGGCTGTCGGAGGAGGGCCGCGCGCACGGGTGCAGCTGCTGCGGATGTTCTGTTCGATATGCGCAGTCTTGAGCCAAAATGGCTACGGACCTTCTTGGGGCCCTCTTGGGAGCCTCTTGGAACTGTCTTGGGGCCCTCTTGGGGCCGCCTGGGGGCCCTCTAGGGCCCTTCTGCGGGTCCTCGCAGAGCTCTAGACAACTGGCCTCCGCGTCTGGCGCTCCTTGGGGCCTTCATGGGGCCCTGTTCGGGGCCTTCGTCGTCGTCGGCGTCGTCGTCGGCGTCGTGGAAGTCTTCGTCTGACACGTCGTGGGGGTCGTCGGAATCGTCGGCATCGTCGGCGTCGGAGTCGTCGTCGGGGTCGTTGTCGGAGTCGTCGGGGTCGACGGGGTCGTCGTCGGAGCCGTCGGAATCGGAATCGTCTCCGTCATGGTCGTCGTTTTTCGCCGTGGTCGTCGCTGGAACCGTCGTAGCTACGGTCGTCGCAATCTTCGTCGGAGTCGCCAACGGAACTGTCGGAGTCGGTGTCGGAACGAGTCGCGACCTTTTTCGGCAAGGGCGAGAGGGGGGCGGTACCTTTTTCCCCGTCGGCTCTCGCGGCCCGGGCAACTTTTTCCCCGTCGGCTCTCGCCAAAGTCCCAGCGGCGGCGCGGATGGAGGGACGATCGTCAGCAAAATGAAACTCTCTGATTGGTGCCGCGAGCATGAAAACCGAGTTGGCCGCCGCTGCGCGCATGGATGGTGGCCCCTTTTTTAAAATCTGGCGTTGGCTCGCGACTTCCTCTGGCTGCGTAGCCCGAGACTGAAACGCGTGCAGCAGACGCGCGGACGGTGGGCGGCCACTTGTCAAAATGAAGCTCTCGCTTGACAACGCATCGGGCTCTGTGGCCAGAGCGGCGTACATGTGAAGCAGCTGCAAGGATGAAAACGCATCGCCCAAGTCAGCCGAGCCCCACAGACGCGATGCGTCAGCGAAACAACGGCCGATACGGCGACGAGACCATCGACTCCCCCGCGGGGGGCGATGAAACTCGCCCGTCGCTTCGGGCCCAGGTGGCGCCGCCCCGTGGGTCAACCACGCGTGCGCGCCAGAAAAAAAACGGTTTCGTAACAGACCTCTTTTCGTGAACATCACTTGGGCTCCCATGACACTTTGGGGGCGTCACCACGCCATGCTACCTCATTTCCGCGTTTCAATGGTTTGTTCAAAATGCTGCTCTCGATGAAACGCTGGCCTCGTTTTCGGGTTACCGCTCATTACGGATCGTGCTCCCGCTGCAGTGCTGGCCTCATTTCCGCGCTTCCGCTCGTCCCGAATCGTGCTTCCACTACAGCGCTGGCGTCAATATTTCCAGTGTCATGCCACGGCATGGTTTTCAGTCCTTCCAAATAGGCCCCAACATCTAGCAAATGCCCTCCCGAAAAAACAATCGGAAGTGATGCCATATTCGGTGTCGATTCGTTGACTTTGGGGGCCGCAGAAGCCACCCCACTTTGCGGCGTCGCCACGTCATGCATTCGTCATGCTATGTCATGCTACGCGTTGATATTCCACATCATGCTGTGCCAGGCAATGCTCGGCAATGTTGCGATATCAGATTGTGCGAATAGAGAAGAAATCTACGCCATGTTAAGGGATGAGAGGGAGGGGTAAGACGTCGGATATGACGCGAACGCACCTATTGAGCAGAGAGCGACCGTCCCGGCATTCCTATGGGCCTACCACGAGATGTTCTTAGAACCCACAAATGCTCCAAAAGCAAATGTTCTATGAACAAGAACAGCGTTCTTAGAACATTTGCCCGATGTGTTAAAACAAGACCGCCTCGGCCATACATTTTCTAATAACATCTCGTGCAGACCACACAAGGTTCTTAGAACATTCTCAGGTAGGCCTATAGGCGAGCTGGGACGCTTCGCCACTGCTTGAACCTAGCTTGTCCCCAGGGGGGCGCGCAAACATGGATTAGCGATCCACGGATTTGGCGCGCGGTCGCCAAATCCATGGATCGGGGGAGGTGTTCTCCCCAGAATGCGGCTGGTGCCGCCTCGTTCGGCGGCGCAGTCCGGGATTCCCCACGAAAACGGGACCCGTCGCTAATCCACGCCCCCTTGATTTCCATGTCTGCGTTCGCCTGACCTCCCTCCTCCCTCCTCGCTGCCGCCCCCCCGCCCCGCGCGCACGGCCGTGCCAGCGCCGCGCGCGCGGGGGCCTAGTGGTGGGCCGGCCCGTGAGGACGTTGCCGCTGTTCTGGCCGCTCGCGCTGGCGAAGCGGCTGGAGGACACGCCGACCGGCGGCCCGGCACTGTCGTCCTCGGGGAGGCGGCAGGGAGGGGGAGGAGGGGCAGCACTCAAAGGATTCGGAGGAGGAGGAGGAGGAGGATTCTTGACTCTGTTTCCCCTCGCGACTCCTCGTCAATGTTTGACCCCCCTGGCGGCGTTGGCCGCCGAGGGGGGAGGGCATCGGCTTCTTGGAGGTAATGGTGCCCGCAAAAGCGAGGCGCTGGGGGGGATGTCGGGTTCGCGTTGTATACTGAGCTGGCGATGTCGGCCTCGCCAGGTGCTTTGAGCCACGATACGAGCTCGAACCTGTGAGAAAGGCGATGACCAGGCAGACGCCCAAGAGAGGCCTGAGTAGATCAGGCTGGGCCGAAATGGACCCCCTGGAGGTCGTGAGGGAGGATGGGGGCGGAGGCGGAAGATGAGGAGGAGGTATAGCACATGACCTTGCAGGCCGCTCTACTTTATCTGCTGTCTTTATCCTGCCGTCCTCACTCCTGGCGTCTAGTGTGGCAAGCTCTTTTTGGGCGAACCACTGAGGCCACCTCGCCTAAGCTGGATCCTTTTTTTGTTTTTTTGGTGGCCGCCTCGCATGCGTTGCGCTTCATCGCGGAAGTCCGAGCACCGCAGAAGGAGGCGGCGTCCTCGAGTGCGCGGGAGACCTGCGGGCGCAGGGCACCAGGGCCCTCGAGCCGGGAGCACCTCGAGGAGGTGTGCACGGGGGGTGGCGCGGTGAGGTGTGGGATGGGGTGGCGGGGCGGGGTGCCGGGTGGATGGGGGTGGCGCGCCCTCTTGAAGCGCCTCTTGGGACCCTTCTGTGCCCTTCCTGGGGTCCCTTGGGGCCCTCTTGGGGCGTCACTTTCCCCGACCCGTTCGTGCCTCTCATGCGGCGCCCTTGGGCTCTTTTTGGCATGCCTTTTGCGGCCTCTTTGGGGGGCGGGCAGGGTGGAGGGAGATGGGGAGATGGGGAGGACACGCCCACCGAACGCCCAGCGCTGGCGTCCTCGAGATGGATGGGGGGCCTGCAGGCGCAGGGCGTTGACGTCCCCGAGGGGGCATTCTCGAAGAAATGTGCGCGGGGCGGTGATGTGGTGCGGGGTGGACCGTGGTGGGGGGAGGGAGGGGACGGAGGGCGAGGAAGCTCAGAGTTATTGCACAACAGCAGCCGATCGTCGCATCTCTTGGTTTGCGCTGCCCCGAGATCGATCGGGGATGGGTGGGGAAGCATCCTCGAAGGCGGGGTGGGGCGGGTTGAGCAGGGAACGGTCCCTCCCTCGAGGGGCTATCCTCGAGGGGGCACCCGCGATCAACTAACCGACACGCAATGGGCCAAGGCTGCAGGTAAAACGGCGCCAGAGACAGAGGCACGGCAACCTCTCTTTGACAACTCCTGCGGTCTTGTCGTCCCCGTACTTTACCTGACTCCTTTCCCCTCCCCCTCCTCCAACTCCTCGTTCCATCCCCTCACTCGCTGCGATCTTGCTCTTTACCTTTCTGCGAAGCCGCGACTGAGCACAATGGCTCATATCTACGATCGACATCAAAGCTGCTATCGTGAGCCCGAGAACTGGCCGTACGTAGCCCTGGTCTGCATGGCCCTCGGCGCGGCCCCCAGCGCGATCAGGCCCATGTCGGCGGCCAGAAAAACACGCGTCATTCTCCCTGGCCCTGCTCTTGGTCCGATCCTGAGCCTCGCGGATGCTGCGCCCCGCGCGCAGCGCTCGCCAGCGCTGCCGCTCGCGGAACGACCCCGACGCCGACGCCCACAGGCCGCCCGCTGACGCTGCAGTGTGCAGCGCAGCGCCTGCCACGAGAGCGGCCACGCCGGCGTGGGGGCGCCCTCGGTCCTCATCGGCTCGGGGCCGTCCACGGCCCACCCTCGAGTGCAGAAGCGATGCGATGATGGGCCTGTTTTCCGCCACCACCACTACGTTAGAGTGGGAGGGGGTCCTCCTCCTCCTCCTCCTCCTCCTCCTGCTCCTCCTCCTCCTCTTCGTCCTCCTCCTCCTCCTCGTCCTCAACTTCCTTCCCCCCTCCAACTTATGGTGGTGGTGGTGGTGGAAAACAGGCCCATCGATGCGACGCGTGTCGCGTAAGCTCGAAACGTGGTCACAGGAAAGTGGGTCAAGAGCGCGAGCCCCTGCGCCGAGGGCCCAGGGCCCCGCGGAGGTGCCCCAAAGCGACGAGCGCCTCACGGGGTATTCCTCCAGAGGGTACTCCTCTAGAGCTAGGATTGTTCTCAACCCTCGCTCTGGCTGCATCTCGCGAGGAGGGGCTGCCGCACTCGTCGCGTGCGAACTCCAGCTCCTTCCCCTGGTCCCAGGACCGCGCTCCCTCTGCAACGCCCGGTCTGCGGCCAGGAGAACGCCTCAGCCACTCGCTCCGTCTTGCCTCTGGCGTTGCGCTACCCCTGCCGTGCCGCTGCAAGGCCGATGTCCACGGACGACGCGCAGCGCGGACAAAACATGCACGAGGAGTCGGAGGAGAGGAGGTCGCAGAACAAGGAGAAAACCGATGAGGAAAATAATGATCCCAGTGCGCCCCTACCTAGGAGTTGGAGCCTCTAGGAAAGCAACATTAGTAGGAGCGGTAAACGCCGTCCTCCTCCTTCTCCTCATCGTCGTAGTTGTAGCAGTAGCGGTAGTAGTAGTAGTAGTAGTAGTAGTAGTAGTAGTAGTAGTAGTAGTAGTAGTAGTAGTAGTAACAGTGGTAGTAGTAGTAGTAGTAGTAGTAGTAGTAGTAGTAGCAGTCGCAGTCGCAGTCGCAGTCGTAGTCGTAGTAGAAGTAGTAGTAGTAGTAGTAGTAG